GCAGGATGGTTCCCTGTCTGATAATGCATAGTTCTTCATTATACATCAATACAGACCAGTGAATCCCTATTGCTAATCAACGGGAATAATCAAACTTAATCATCTCGAAATTTTAACATCTCACTTTTAAAGATAAAATGACTCCTAGTGGCTAGTATGAAACCAATTCTGTGCATAACTTCATGTTTGATTTTTTATTTCAAAAGATAATTATTGCGTAGAATGAGAATGAGTAAAACAATGGAACTTTTAATGATTTTCAAAGCATGTAAATTTTGGTGGCATTTTTATATGACTACATTCTATTCAGAAGGAAATATTAGTAGCCAGCAAGACTAAAGTGTTCAATATGAGATCTGATGGAAGTAGCCAGCTAGACTAAAGTGTTTAAACATAGGAGCTGATGGTAGCAAGCAGGACTAAAGTCTTTAGTGTGGGAGCTGGTGGTGAACAAGACCGGTGTGCAGTATTTAAAGAAGCTATGATGGTAGTTACCAAGATAATAGATAGGAACAATGCGACAAGTATAATTCAAATTGATATCAGGTGACGAGACAAAGTTTGTGTACAGTGAAAGCTGATGGATAAGGGCAAGAGGAATGGTGATGAAAAATGATGGTTGGTGATAAGACAAGAGTGTTTTGAGTAATCCTTGAAAATACGGAACGGGAATTACTGGATATGGTATATAATATTTCACAAAAGATAAGTGAGTGGAGAAATGATGCAAGGCGACCTCTGACCCAGCTTGGAGAAGGTCGTGCCCGATCGTGCTCCCGTTAGAGACCAAGGAAAATGGCCGCTTTGGATCGTTGTGTCGTGGGGGAAGAGGAGGAGAGTGTGGGGAAAGACGACCTCCTTGCCACGCTGTTAAGGCAGCTGGGGCAGTTGAGGAGTGAGGTTGACACTCTAAAGGGGGAAAATGAAGCCCTCAGGACGGAACTCCTTCAGGTAGGTGTCCTGCCTAGCATGACACCTGCGAAGGAGGAGCAGGCGTGGAGAGTGGTTGTCTCCAAGGGGACTAGGGTCAGGCTCAGGAAAGCTGACCAGGGTGTGGAGTGTAGTAACCCTTACCAGGTGCTGCAGGAAGCTGGAGAGGAAGAGAAGAGGCAGGACGGTATGGATCAAGGAGAGGAAAGGGCAGTTGTACAAACCCTGCCCACAGGTAAGGTCGTGGTAGTTGGTGACAGCCAGGTGAGGTTTATGGATAGGGCTTTTTGTGCGAGAGATATGAAACGTAGGACTAGGGTGTGTTTTCCTGGGGCTGGGATAGGGCATGTAGCCAAGAGGTTAGACAGGGTTTTGTCAGGGGAGGGTACCAATCCAGTAGTGTGTCTTAGTGTGGAAGGAAACGACATAGGTAAGGTTAGGAGTGAGGAACTTTTCAAGAGGTATAGGGAGGCGCTGGGGAAGATTAGAGATAGGGGAGGGATCCCGATAGTATGTGGTGTCTTGCCTAGAAGAGGGGTTGGTCGTGAATGGCTGTCCAGGGCAATTGCTATAAATTGCCGACTGGAAAAACATTGTGCAAACAATGGTTGGGCATTCATTGATAACTGGCAACGATTCTATGGTAACGACTACCTGTACTGTCGCGACGGAGTACACTTGTCTCGTGAGGGGGTAAAGACGTTGTCTGCATCCCTGGAGTGTGAATTTGTCACTCCGAAGGGGGGGTTTCGCCAGTAGAAAGGGGTCGGGGAAAGTGGGAGTCAAAAAACAAGCAGGTCCTGGGAAGTAAAATTAGTTGCTCAGGACAAGGGGTAAAACAGGACCAGGGAAGAGTAGGTTTAAATGTATACTATACAAACAGTAGGAGCGTTAGAAATAAAATAGACTTACTGAGAGCGGTTGTATGTACCGAGAATGTAGACGTCATAGCAATCACCGAAACTTGGATGAATCTGGCGAGCAAAATTTTTTTATCAGAGTACCACATAGAAGGGTACAACCTTTTATAACAAGGACAGGGAAGGTAGGAAGGGGGGAGGGGTCGCACTCTTCGTCAAGGATACATTAAAATGTTGTACTAATAATTCAATAAAGGGTGAAATAGGAACCGAGTCTGTGTGGGTAAAAATCACGGAAGGAAGAGAAAAACTAATTATGGGAGTGATTTACAGGCCCCAAGTCTTGTCAAAGAAGCAGCTCAGCCCATATGGCAGGAAATGAGTAGGGCAGCAAAATATAACAACCTAGGCATTATGGGGGATTTCAACTTCAGAAATATTGACTGGGACAACATTGTAGGCGACTACGAATCTGAAGACTTCCTAGACGCAGTACGGGACAATTTTTTGAAACAACTAATTACAGAACCTACTAGAGGTGACAATATATTAGACCTAGTATTAACAAATAAAGAAAATATTATCAGAGATATCACAGTAGGGGAAGAACTAGGTAACAGTGATCACAGAGAAATCAGGTTCACCCTAAATTGGGAAACGAAAAACAATGACAATATGGTCAGAGTCCCAAACTTTCGGTTGGCGGATTATCAGGGGTTAAGAAGGTACCTAGGTGAGGTCACCTGGGAACAGTCACGTCAGTTCCCAGTAGGAAGGGGTGAGGTCATAGATGACACAACAATTGATCATGACTATAATATATTCACTAGTATACTACATAAAGCACAAGAACAAAATATACCACACAGAAAAATTAGGTCAAATAAGAATGAGCCAAGGTGGATGACCAGAAAACTTAAACATGACATAGGAATAAAGAAAGGAATATATAAGAAATTAAAGGGAGGGGAGGAGCAGCTCAGAAACAGGTATAATGAACTATCTAGGAATGTTAAGAAAAATGTAAGGAAAGCAAAGAGAGACAATGATACCAAAATAGCAAGAGAATCGAAGGCGAATCCCAAGGGATTTTTCCAGGTATATAGGACAAAGGTCAAGGACAAAGTTGGGCCTTTAAAGTCAGGGAGGGGCGAATTGATAAATGGCAGTGAAGAAATAAGCAAAGCATTGAACAGCTACTTCTTATCGGTTTTCACAGAAGAAATTTGCGAAGAAATTCCGGAGGTGGAACTGATATTTAAGGGAAAGGAAGAAGAGAAATTAGAGAATATCACTATCAGAAAAGAGGATGTTCTTAAGAAGATAAAGAAACTAAAGAACACAAAATCCCCAGGGCCGGATCAAATTTTTCCTCGAGTCTTAAAAGAGTGTAGGGAACAGATTAGCGGACCCCTCGTAAACTTATTTACAAAATCATTAGACACTGGAGTTGTGCCAGAGTTGTGGAAACAGGCGAATGTAGTACCCATATTCAAAAAGGGAGACAGAGCATCAGCGTCAAATTACCGGCCGATCAGTTTGACGTCAGTAGTGGGGAAATTTCTTGAATCAATTATAGCAGATAGAATCCGATCGCATCTAGAGAAAAGCAAATTAATCTACGACTCTCAACATGGGTTTACAAAGGGAAAATCTTGTCTAACAAATCTGCTAACGTTTTTAGGAAAGTCTTCGAGGTAGTAGATAATGACGAAAATTACGATGTTATTTACTTAGACTTTAGCAAAGCATTTGACAGAGTATCGCATCAGAGGCTTCTGAGAAAAATTAAGGCTCATGGTATCGAGGGGAAAGTTTTAAATTGGATAGAATCATGGCTCACCGATAGAACGCAGAGGGTCAGCGTAGATGGTGTTAAATCTGAGTGGGACCGTGTAACCAGTGGGGTTCCCTAGGGGTCAGTACTAGGCCCACTCTTGTTCATAATCTACATAAACGATTTAGATCCTGGGATCAGCAGTGACATAAGCAAGTTTGCGGATGACACCAAAATAGGGCGGCAAATTAATTCAGGGCAGGATGCAAATGCATTACAGGAGGATGTAAATAAACTGCAGGGGTGGTCTGAAAAATGGCAAATGAAATTCAACACCAGCAAGTGCAGCGTACTTAATATTGGAAGAACAAATACTTATAATGTATACAGCCTTAACAACATCAACCTAGAGAAGTCGACTTGTGAAAGAGACCTAGGGGTACTTGTAAGCCCGGACCTACGGCCTAGAAAACAGTGCGTTAATGTTCGAAATAAGGCAAACAGAGTATTGGGTTTTATATCTAGAAGTGTAAGTAACAAGAGTGCAGAGGTCTTATTGCAACTATATCTTGCGCTAGTTAGGCCACACCTCGATTATGCGGTTCAGTTCTGGTGCCCCTATTATAGAATGGATATAAATTCACTAGAGTCGGTGCAGCGAAGAATGACAAAAATGATTCCGGGACTTAGAAACCTTCCATATCAGGATAGGTTAAAGAAACTTAACTTGCATTCCCTAGAAAGACGAAGTGCGGGGAGATATGATAGAAGTATTTAAGTGGGTGAAAGGAATCAATAAAGGGGATATAGATAAAGTTCTTATAATATCCGAGCAGGATAGGACTCGGAGCAACGGATTCAAGTTGGATAAGTTTAGGTTTAGGAGGGAGATAGGAAGAAACTGGTTCACAAATAGGGTGGTGGACGAGTGGAACAAGCTTAGCAACTTTGTAGTAAGTGCGGGAACTCTGGAAAGTTTCAAAAGGAGGCTAAATAGATTCATGGATGATAGAGAGTGGTAGTAACTCTCGACAGGAGCTGCCATGCACAGGCCAACCGGCCAATTGCAGACTCCTTATTTTCTTATGTTCTTATGTAACAAGGATAACTTGAAACAATGTTATGCCCAAAGATAACCGGAGTGAAAAATAACAATATTTAACGAGACCAGGTATATGTGTAGTAAGGATATACAAAACACGAAAAATGAAAGAATAAGGGAACCCGCTGTTTTTGAGAGTAAAGTGTGGGTCTATAAAGTACAAGACATACAAAACTTTAATTCATATTGTAGTAAGTACACGGTATGATTATATATATATATATATATATATATATATATATATATATATATATATATATATATATATATATATATATATATATATATATATATATATATATATATATATATATATGAACATATGGAGGGCAACAGCCGTAGGTCTAACCTAACTAAGCTGGACGGGCCTCCGTTTGGAGGTTGGCTTAGAAATGACCAAAATATCAAAAATTAATCTTGGTCGGCAATGGTCACGTTATCTCCCCTCGCGCATGATACAGAAGTTTTGGTTAACTATGCTATTTGAGTTGTTTTCTGCAAAATTCCAAAAAAAGATATACTGTATTTATATAAAATATTGTTTGTAAGTTGTACTTCTTGATCTTTTCCTTCTATTACTTACTGCTTATCTTATGTGTTCACATCAGCTACTCCTGACCAAATTATATATTTGTCTGATATTTGCTTTTTAAAATGAATAACTCTTATTTTTGCGGAACAGCACCGACAAAGCCGTGCCCTTATAATGTGTTCTCCACAGCACCATGTCTCCTTCCCTGGCGTAGATGATTACTAAAAACCATCACAAACACTAACTTTCCACCAGCCAGGAAAAATAAGACACGTTCTTTGATTTCCGATACCACATGGCGGAAGACTGGGTCCTTTTAGAACTTGGTTGCAGTATAGAGATGATCATCTGGGCCTTGGTGGTGAGCGTGGATTATGTGGGCAGTGCTGCAGGGGCGGGTGGTGGGCGTAAGGGCGGGAGTGAAGATCTGAGGCAGCGTGGGCGGCAGTCTGTTGGGCGGTGGGCGGGCTGGTGAGGCCGGAGACATGAAGGACTGCGGGAAGGTGGCGAGGGGCCTGGGAAGTAAGAAAACATCTTTCTTAAACGCTACTACAGCTAGTACTGTACTCAGGTGTACTGTCTAAAAGTAACTGATACCCTATGGTGGATATAGGCAAGCACTGGTTTGGTAATAGAGTTGTGGATATGTGGAATAGGCTACCGAGTGCTATAGTAGGATCGGGGACGCTAGGGAGCTTCAAGACGAAGTTGGATAGGCACATGGAAGTGCTGGGATGGGTGTGAAAGGGATCTGCCCTGTATGGGCCAGTCGGCCTCCTGCAGTATCCCACTTTCTTATGTTCTTATGTTCTTATGTACTTTATGTGTGTAACCTCTATTGTACTAACACCATCATATATATATATATATATATATATATATATAAATATGCAAGTAAATCACGGTATGTGCGCGTGATCTAGGTATATGCTGATAACCACAAGGAAAGAAGAAAACACGAAGTTCCCAAGCGCTTTCGTGTAATTCACATCTTCAGGGGTGAGTACAAACTAAAGAGAAATACAAACCAAGGTGTATATATACAGAGGAGGGTGAGACCAGGTCCACAATGGTCAGGTATTACGTAATGACCCTACTAATCTTTAAATAGCACACAACGATTGGTGGTCAGGTCAGATGGTAAGGTGACCCGACCTTCTCACCTGGTTACAAATCTTCTTAATTACAAAATTGTCCAGTTTGTACATGCCATTACTCAAATTCATGTTGAATGCTTCGGTATGTTTAATAAGACTAGATTCTATGATGTTCCTACTATCAATTGATTTACAAGGTAATATTGAGGAGGCATTATCCCAGTCAATGCAATGCTTGTTATCCCTCAAATGAACAAACGGAGCATTGGATTCCTGGCCTGTCCTAACACTGTATTTGTGTTGTTTAATTCTAGTTGCAAGATTTTTACCTGTCTGGACTAAGTAAAACATATTACATTCCTTGCAAGGAACTTTATAAATGCAACCAATTGTGTTGTTGGGGGAGTTCTTGATTAACATTTGTTTAACAGTGCATGAGTTTTTAGATGCCACATTGACGTTCCAGGTTTTTAGTTGTGAAGGAATGCGTGTGTGTTGGTGTACGGATTAGTGAATGTCATGATTATGACCTGACCAAGGATTGCAATCCCTGGTCACACTCATAAGGTCGAAGGGTTCAAGTCCTGGCTAGTGAGATCGTTGATTATATGTTGAAGTCCGCGTGCTAAATGATATATATATATATATATATATATATATATATATATATATATATATATATATATATATATATATATATATATATATATATATTTCATTAGCCCAATAGCACGCAGACTTCTACATACAATCAACACCTCAACCCTGGTGGTCCAGCGGTTAGCGTTCTCAGGTCACAGTCATGGGCTAGTGGACCGTGGGTTCGAATCCTGGCGGGTTGAGGTGTTAATTGTATGTAGAAGTCAGCGTGCAATTGGGCTAATGAAATATATTTGGATCCTCGTGTTTCGAAGCCGGATTTAGTAAAACGTTACTCTGACCACCTTCGTGATACGGGTAGTCCCCATTAGAGGTTCACGGCGCAATAAGCTCGTTGAGCAGGCTTTGTGTGAAATATAACAAAGTCTAGGACTGCTTTTAGTATCCTGGTGGTCCAGCGGATAGCGTTCCCCGGTCACAGTCATGGGCTAGTGGGCCGTGGGTTCGAATCCTGGAGGGTTGAGGTGTTGATTGTATATATATATATATATATATATATATATATATATATATATATATATATATATATATATAAAACAAAGAGGTATGTCTGTGTGTGTGCCCGCACGAGAATCTCGGAAACTACTTTACCGATCTGTAGTGATGATGGATTGTGTTATATGTAGTGATGATGATGGATGGTGTTATATGTAGTAATGATGGATGATGTTATATGTAGTGATGATGGATGTTGTTACATGTAGTGATGATGGGTGGTGTTATTGGTAGTGATAATGGATGGTGTTATATGTATTGATGATGAGTGGTGTTATATGTAGTGATGATTAGACAATAAAATAATAACAGTTAAAGCTAAAAAAATATACTTTGCTGTACCGTTGTAGTGGATTTTACATACATCGTTATTGAACTATTGATGGAAGAAGAAGTTTTGGGGACTGAACAGCACGCTCAACTCTTAAACTGCCTCTCATTCTCCCTCACAATGAGAATCCAGTGTGCAACATCAAAAAGGGATCGGCATAGGCAAAACTCTTAGAAAAATGCAGCCTCATAGTCTGGGACAAGTGATCGTGGGCCCTTCGTGCCCGGTTGCGAGTCCGGTGGCACAGTTTACCGAGGTTGTTATAATCATGGTACTGGTTGTTATAATCATGGTCGTGGTTGTTATAGTCATGGTCGTGGTTGTTATAATCATAGTCGTGGTTGTTATAATCATTGTCGTGGTTGTTATAATTATGGTCGTGGTTGTTATAATCATAGTCGTGGTTCTTATAATCATGGATGTGGTTGTTATTATCTTAGTCGTAGGTGTTATAATCATGGTCGTGGCTGATATAATCATAGCCGTGGTTGTTATAATCTAGGTCGTGGTTGTTATAGTTATGGTCGTGGTTATGATCATAGTCGTGGTTGTCATAATCATGGTCGTGGTTGTTATAATCATGGTTGTGGTTGTTATAATGATGGTCCTGGTTATCATAATCATAGTCGGGGTTGTTATAATCATGGCCGTGGTTGTTATAATCATGGTCGTGGTTGTTATAATCATGGTCGTGGTTGTTATAATCATAGTCTTGGTTGTTATAATCTAGGTCGTGGTTGTTATAGTTATGGTCGTGGTTATGATCATAGTCGTGGTTGTCATAGTCATGGGGGTGGTTGTTATAATCATGGTCGTGGTTGTTATAATCAT